ATCAAATCAAATCAAGTCAAATTCTTTATTTCAATTAGACCACAAAAGGCACTTTTGAACGTCAAGTATATTAATGAAACATATGAATGTTATTTGGTATTAGCGTTTCAATCGTGTTAATTCGAGACACATTAGTAAGACAATAGGTACGCAAACGCCAGCGTTCGCTTAAGGTTTGATGAATTAAATTATTTCATGGCAGGTGCTTTTTAAGAATTATCTTAATAATATTTATTTGAAATCCTGCAAAACATTTATCGCTATAGGATTGTTGGAAATGGAAGCGAAATAAATAGATTTACCGAATCAGTTTTTGATGGAAAGTTTTAAGCGGATTTAAGAGTGACAATAACAAATGAATTTCGAGCTTATGAAGGTATTTTTATGGTTTATTTTACATTAAACAACGGGAGGTATGTGGAAGAAATGTTGAATGAATTAATGTTGGCGTTAAATTGAATGAGGAGCATAATTAAAAATAAATACTAATATATTTATAAATAAAACTATACTGTTGTGATAGAGTTGTTAGAGCTACAGCAGAACAAAAATATTCTTTGCGATCATCGGGTAAGACACTATTGACTTTACTAGTAACAACATGGACTCAGACATCGAAAAAAATTACTAAATAATATTTTGTTCGGGAAATGGGGAAAAAAATCTCACACCATTCAACTATTCAAACAACGACGCAACTATTCTTCTAAAACATTATCTATACTAATATTTTAAGAGGTAAAATTTGTAAGTTTGTATGTTTGTATGTAGGGGGTAATCTTGGAACTACCGGTCGGATTCCCAAAATTCTTTCACTTACTGATAGCTACAATGTTTCCGAGTGCTATAGGCTATAAAACATCACGCTTCAGTCAAATGGAGCCGAGCAGCGAGTGAAACGGCGCGGTAGTAGCTAGTTTCAAATAAAAACCTACATAATATATAAACTTAGTGATTAAAATTGAGACGAAAGTGCTTCTTTCACTCAATGTGGAGTTGTATTATTATCAAACTATTACTCGGAACTCAGACAGATGCTCAAGAAAAATCACTTCCTTGCAAATAAATTATATCCTTCAATTTCGTTATCCATTTTATAGAGAATTGAATGTCGTCGTGAATAAATTATAAGTAACATCAGAATTAAATTAACAAACTAAGCATTTAGCTCAGTTCTGCTTGATATGAATGTTTAAGAAGAATTTTAAAAATAATAATATATTTATTAAGGTCCTCGTATTTCGATACTTTAAGTGATGCATATAAAAATATACACCCAGTTTTATCCAAAGAAAACATGAAATAAGATTGCCTAAAATCTAGAAAGAACTCGATGATAAACTTAGCACATGGTTAGGTATAGGTAGGTAACTAATTAAAATCGCAATAATCCAACCGCAAGATTTAAATTATACAACCAATTAACCTTTGTTAATTACTGCGACAAGCCTAGCGAACATTCGACAACATTTCATTAGTAACCTAGAACCTAATATTGGTGCTTAGGAACACATTGTACGTTGAATTTCTACAAAATTAACTTTCCCACATACACACACACACCAATAATTTCAGGTAATTACCACGAATGTTAGTTGAGCTTTAGTCGTGTTTTGTAATCCATCTGCACGCAGATTGCTTGCTAAACACGTATTATTACAATTTGCAAATTCGATAGTATTTGGATTCATACCTAACCGGGGGGAGGGGGGTTAGTCAGTAAGAGTTTGGCACTCCCTTCCGCCCTACCCTGGGCGGGAGAGCCATCCTACCCTGGGCGGGAGAAGACATTTCATGATTTTCCCTTCACAAAAAAAGACTCACAGAAAACCGACGTGAAACAACCACATCATACATAACTACTTCATATTAGAAAATACTAACTATACTTATGAAAAATACTTATACACTACCGAGTACTATTAACAATGTTTTAACTCTAACTGATTAGATAGAATAATTAAAAACGCTACTAAAATTAAAGAGTCTAAATGTTTGTTAACAGCCATTAGACCTTATAATAATATAAATATAGCAATGTTAGGTTTACGAATAGGTAAATGACATGATCCAAACCAGGAGGTACACGTGAAATTTAATTTTCTATGTCATTTTACAAACAGGTATTGAACGGGAAACGCTACATAATTTCCCCATGGTGTCGTAAAATTACTCGATGACATGAACTTTATTAGCAAAACAAAACATTTATTACAAATTGTAATTTTTTGTTTACACACGATGACTTGGATCCGATATCACATTAAAATTTGGTTTATTGTATTATTTTATTTATGTAGTAAAATTTCTTGATGAACATGAAATAAACCAATTGATTGAACTCTATTTCCCTCTTTCTTCCTTTCTCTCGCGCTCTCTCTCTCTCTCTCTAACACACACGGATCTGAATTTTTTGTTACCCTTTTTTCTTATAAAGAATATAAAGAACACTTTTTCCTTAAGACGCTTTTGTCGTTATTGAACCTAATTTTTTAATTGTAATTAATTTAATTTAACTTTATTTTAGGCCAAGCCTAAAAGGAGGAATGTGTTTTTAATCAGATCTGTGGCACCTAAATACTAGTAAAATTTTAATTAAGTACCTACCTAATCATGTGTAAAAGGTACCATCAAATGACGCTAATTACAAATTCCTTTTATGAAAACCATTTTCACTTAGCTAATTACATTAACATCTAAAATACCTACCAGGCTGTAGAAGTATTATCTATTACTTTCATTAAATTGTTTTTATTGACACACGTAGCATTGGCAATTCAGTTGTGTTTAAGTTAGACACTTCGATATCTTGTAGGTACCAATACGAATTCTCAAAATCACTTACAAGTTCCTCAAAAAGTTTATTTTGACGACTGGCATAATATAGAAGAAAACATACATAATAGAAGTTGTAGGATCAAATAAAAAAAAATAATACAAAATCATGCATAAAACCTTCTTGACAAAAGTTAAGCTTAGTAAAATAAGCGAAAGGCAAATATCTTTTCGACTAAATATAGGTATAAATTAAACTAGGAAGCGGCAGATTTTATATCCATTTCTTTATACGCAAACTGTATTTACAAAGAAACTAAATACGAGTAAAACCGTTTTACGATCCAGTTAAATCGGAGGTAATAAACATTATTTATTTTATTTTATAATAAATCAGACTGTGTTTAAAACCACATTAATTATTTTAGAAATAAAATGTTCATTACATAACATAAACCAGAAATGTAGGTGTTAATAAAACGTGAGATATACTGGTATATTTTTATGTAAGTTTATCACTAAAACTAATCTAATAACGTATCCACAGCTACAGCTGAAAAAAAGTTTAATTTTCATTGAATAAATGGATAAAATAAAATAAAAAATATGTGATCATTTTCTCGTTTAGGCAGTCTTGAATGTTAGATAAAAAGTTGTTCTTGTTTCGACATAATAGCAATTATAGAAATAATAGAAATATTTTGTAGATTAGTGAATAAAATGAAACGTCCCTCGAGGTAAATGTCTATAGAATACAAAGATCTAAAACATATATTATATTATACAATCAAAGTCAAAATCATGAATATGTAAACTAAACTATAAACAACTAAATAATAAATATGTACTTTTGAAGCATCAGAATAGAAAAATAGTCTGCCAGTCTGTTTGTCAGTGAAGCTAAGGCGCTCGTTCGAAAATTTTGATTTGAATTGAGAAGAACGAGCAAGAAACTACACAATTCACAAACACATTATTTTCATATTTACAACAAGACAAAATTTTTATATGTTCATTGCTTTTATTAACTAAATTAGTTTCATTAATAAAAAAATTAATTGTTTGAAAAAAAAACTACACTTCTATTTATATTTTGACTAGTTGCAGCCAGCGACTTCGCCTGTAACACCAGATTAAAAAGTAGCCTAGTTATGTGTTATTCCGGACTACTATAATATGTAATGGTGCTAAATGTCTTTTAGAATTGATTAATTTAGTAGTTTTTAGACGAAAGGCTAAAAAACCTTCGCGTTTATCATATTAGTATGATTAGTCAACTAAAACAATAATTACATTGACCGTTGTAATTCCCAAAACGATTAAGCAATTAATTAATTAATTAAATTATATTTGCCTAATAGTTTATAAGCACACATTAAAAAACGAAATCGAAACAGACGAACGAATGAAATTAAAACTAAATACACATAATAGCTACTATATTAACATGTTGTATAGTTATACAATTACTTAGTAGATAATTGTGAGAAAATAATGATAAGCCATTATCTGCTTAGTCGGCTGTAAAGATGGTCAATTGTATAATAACGGTGTACAATGATATTCCATGGAACTAAATAAAGTATCGTTTCATCCAATCATTTAGTTATATCCTAATTATATTGCTATTAAATTATATATATGGATCTTATTACTTGCGGCATAACTATCAAAATTGTATACGCAGTCCATCCCACAATTGCTTATTATCAAAATTGGTTTAACGACTATAAAGTTTATTTTGCTTTGACACTTGTTAGACTTTATGGCTATTATTCAATCAGACTCAACTCTAAAGCTATTACTGAAACATTTTATAAATTTTGCTCAGACTATTCTAGATTTTGCATAATCGTTTAATCAGATAAAAGCCGTTAGTTTAGTGCTTTCTTTAGTTAAAGACACCGTTTAGTAATAAATAATATTATAACTAACATATATGAAAGTTAATAATGTCGCAAAAATATTTTCTCACACGTCTATCTACTTTTCCATCGTATTTACTAACTTAACTTAAGAAATCGTGTAGAACCTTATATCACAGACAATAAATATTGTTTAAAAGTATTTATACAAATAACATAAAATAAAATATTACTTACAAATTTAAGATGAATATCCAAACAAAACCGGCGATAAACACAAAATGGTTAACAAAAAAAAACTGTTCGTATTCAACAAGTTGTTTATAATAAATCGTTTTGAGAATTGTTTAAACAACTTACCGAGTGTTGTACTCGATAACACACGGTTTCATGGTTGGCAGTTCATTCACAAATAAGCGAGTAAGAGGTGCGCGACGCGTCGGAAAATGTGAAAATATTATTGGGTCGGTTCGGTGCGTGTGACGGCAACGGGCTCAAGAGTCGTACTGCTGGGCACTCGCGATCCGACCGCCGCGCGTCTACTCCGAGAATATAATTCCTTTAATGCACATCTCAACGATAATAATTATGAAAACTGTTTTGCCCGGCTCAACCAGAACTTCGTGTTGTGATTAGGGAATGTATGTATACGTAATTGTATATCAAAGAGTATTTAATTGGAATATTGTTTCAAGTAATTTATCTTTAACAGAAATTTCGGTACTTAAAGCCGGTATAAACTCACCGATCAGTTCGTTGTTAAATTCGCAAATAGTTCGAAAGACTTACGCTCATTTTTACTTTATTAATCAAAACAATTATCGTAGTGTAAAGAAACATGCTTAATGTTTTTTTTACGATTTCGTTTTCTTCAGGAACAATACAACTAAATTATTCACAATAAAATACGTTTGTTGATTTGTATTTACACATTTAAACTATAACTTATATGTTTATAAAATACTACTACTAACACAAAACTACTTATGTTTATTTATATTAAGAACCTACTAACTACCAATAAAAACTATTATCGTAAAAAGTAAGATTGACATTTGATCAGAAAAACCAGTTATTATTATTTATTCGTGGGACAGACGTAATTAGTTACCTTGTACCGTTAATGTATGTTATCTATATAAAACAATTGCTTAGAATGGTGACGTAGACTATTATGAAATGCGTGTCAATGTAAATAATGACAAGGTGTGAAAGGAACAGTTAATGTATCAGGCGTGTTTACTATTATAACATTGCAATTAAAAAAAACCGCATATGTATTTTTGAATTGTGTGGTTCTCCTATTGTGGCCTTCAACATTAATAGCCCATCACAGTCGGGCTGGACTATGCACAATAGCCTTCCTCTACGTGAGAGGGTTTGCCATAAACCTTTCGCTCAGCTGATGGACTGAACATCGTAGTTTCAAAGGTTTGGGTTTATCAGAGAGCTCTGCTGTCCAGAGACTGTCAATGGTAGCTACTGCCAATGGTAGCTACTGTCATTTGTAGACCAGAGGACGCGATTGTAGACCGTTTTTTTTGGTCAATAATTGTGATTGGACGTACTGGCGTTCTACTAGATTAGTAATATGGTACCCCCCACCTCCCCTCCCGTTCCCTCTCCTGCTTTAGGCAGACGCCGCGGTTCCTAAATCTGTACTCATGAAAAATACTTTTTTTGTGTTTCGAAGAGCCATATTAATGTACAAGTAGAGAAGCCAGAATTTCAGAGAAAATCTAAGTGATATAATAATTCTTGCGTTGTATTCCATTGTATGAGTGAGGTTATCCTAAATCCTTTCCTTTTCCGTTTCTCTTCACTTACCTCCTTACACAATAAAAAAGTGCATTTTATTATGCAGTTACCTACTACAACTAATTGCTATTGTTCTTCTGAATGCAAGGCTACTGTGTGCTCTTAGTTGTTAGTTGTATTTGAATATGTTCATTTCTAAATACAAAATTCCGTAGTCAGTTGGGATATTAGTAAAGTTCTCAATGGTAAAATTGCAAACATAATACTACATATAGTCAAGTGGGAGATTGAGTTCTGGATATCGTTAAAGTATTTTTCTTACGCAGTTTTTCTTTTGTTGAATTTGTTATCAAGCTTAGCTCTAGTATTCATTTTATAGAGAAGAGATATTGGATTGACAACATGAAGTGTAGTTATAATTATAATAAGTTATAAGTATCTAAATACATAGATATAAATTTTTGCATTGATAAATATTAAAATAAAAATATACTGCAAGTTTATGAGTCGTCTTCCTATTGCAGAGAGACGAACCAATCTTATAAGAACACTCTCATTCATCATATCATTTTTTATGTGTGTGCAAACTACTACAATTACCTGATGGAAAGGAATGAGCGCTGCCCATTGACACCCGCAACAACGGAGGAGTAACGAGTGCGTTGCCGACCTGTTGGGGATTAAGGATTTAGAGATTTTGGAATTATGGAGGGATTGGGCCTTCGGTAACCTCACTCATACTGCAAAACACAACGCTGTGGTTGTTTCACACCGGTTTTCTGTGAGGCCGTGGTATCAATCCGATCGAGCTGATTCATTCGGGCCGAAGCATGATTCTCCCACTACTTTCATCGAATTTTTAAGTACATTGCGTTACATTGAGCAAATAAAATAGGAGCGTTTAGTATACGACTTGTTTATATTTCAATAAGAATTTATTTTATGCCATTAATTTGAGAATTCCTTTTTTTTAATTCGGTTAACAATAAGGTTCTTTTATACTTCCTCACTCCTTCCTATCATCACAAAATATTATTAATATTGCGAAAGTGCCTTCTATTTCAAAAATACCTTTATCGGGATTCAGAACTGTACATATCTGGAACTGAACAATAACTAAGATTCTATATTGTATCACACCGATCTACATATTTCAGCTTCAACGATTATATTTATGTGTACGTAAGATCGGATACAGGATTTCCTCTTGTATCTTGGGTGTGTCTACCAACACAATTACATACATATATACGCTATACTTAGATATGAAGATACAGAATAATACAGTTACTATACAATATACAATACCTTCTCCCCAAGTCATTCAAAGTTTCTCCAGTCCTTTAATTATTATTCACATATCTACCTTCTCTATTTAAAATACCTTGCAACCCCGGCTGAACATCAATAGGGCCCCGTCTGTGGTGGTCTATTGGCTCTTTGAGCCGCGCGCGGAACGCTACGCGCCGTACGCTCGAGTCTGGTTCTGGTCGGGCGGCGAGCTACCCTTACTCGACGTCTGCAGACCTGCGCTTACGGCGAGATCATGTCTCGATCCCTGACGCCCGGAATGTTGCCTACTGCGGAGGACAATCTCCACCCTTAGCAGTCTAGTTGAACATTGCGACAGACGCACAGAATTTCACCAAATACGAGTCATCCATCCATCAGAACTACAAAACTGTTTTTAATAGAATACAAAGATTATTTTACACACATAATTAACCTCAGCTTAGAAACAGGTGTATTTCCTGAACCATGGAAAGTCGCTGCAGTAAGTCCTATCCACAAAGGAGGACCCACTGATAAACCTGAAAACTACAAGCCGATCGCACTTCTTAGTATACTATCAAAAATCCTCGAAAAAGTTGTAAATACACGCTTAGTAAATTTTCTAGAAAAGAACCACCTTATTTCAAACAGACAGTTTGGCTTTAGAAAAGGGAAGTCGACTGAAGATGCTGCACTACTACTAACAAATAAAATATCAGACTGTGTCGAAAACGGGGACAGATGCATGGCGGTTTTCTTAGATCTAGCTAAAGCGTTTGACACAATCTCAACAGGCCTTCTCCTCAGAATACTAGACTCGTCCGGTATAAGAGGCAAACCGCTTGAATGGTTTCATAGCTACCTATCAAACCGCACTCAATATGTGAAATCTGAGGGTTACACTAGCTATAAACTCCCCATCAACTTCGGAGTACCTCAAGGTAGTCTACTAGGCCCCACACTGTTCATAATCTATATTAACGACATCCTTAATCAAAACCTTCCAAACGCAGAGTTAATATCTTACGCTGACGACACTGTTATAATTTTCCATTCTAAAACTTGGGAACAACTATTTAATTTGGCTGAGGAAGGTCTAGCAACAGTAGCGCAAACTCTAAACAACAACCTGCTTACACTGAACATAAAAAAACCAAGCTACTCACATTTTTTAAAACCATAACATCCAGTCCACCTCCCAATCTATCACTTAAATTTCATACATGTTCTCCGTACACTTCAAGAGAAATCTGTTCCTGTGAGCGTATACAACGAATCCAATCCATTCGCTACTTAGGCCTCCTCATCGACGAGAATCTCTTGTATAAAGTACACATCAAACATCTATCAGGTCGAGTCAGAAAACTCATATACATCATGAAAAAACTCAGAGACCGCACACCAAAAGATACACTTCTCATGGTATATTACGCCATATGCCAGTCCATCATTCAATACGGCATATCTACTTGGGGAGGAGCGGGAAAAACCACACTCATAGACCTTGAAAGATCCCAAAGGGCAGTGATCAAAGTACTCCTTAAGAAGCCATGGCTCTATCCAACAGATACCCTATATAAAGAATTAGGAGTTCTGCGTGTCCGTCAACTATTTATCCTTAACGCATACTTACACGCACACAAATCCCTGAAAAGAAGACCAGACTACAACGCACTCACCTCAAAACGCATATTCAAAATCCCAATACCACGCACAACCTCCCTCTTAACCAGACGATCCCCTACCTACCTCCACACAACTGTCTTTAACAACGTTCATCGCAGGTTACCTCTTGACACAAATGAGCTGCCACTTTCCTCATGTAAGAAGATATTAAAGAAATGGTTAAAAGAACTTTCATACGAAGAGACAGAAAATATTCTTACAACACAATCTACAATCGAAAGGTCGCACTAACACGCACAAAACACACATACACACACACACGCGCACGCACGCACGCACACACACACATACACACACAACACACACACACACACACACACACACACACACACACACACACACACACACAAACACACAAACACACACACACACCCACACACACACACACACACACACACACACACACACACACACACACACACACACACACACACACACAAGCGCGAGCGCGCGCGCACACATCATTCATCATCATCAGCATCAACTTGAGACTGATAAGCTAAGTTCAGTAAACTTTAAACTAAGCATAGGTATTATTATTTAATTTTAACTACTTTTTGTACCTTTATAATTTCCTTTCACTGTATACAACGAGACAAATTTAATTTTAAGAAGATGCTTAAATTTATTTAATATTAAGTTGTTCCTTTTAAATTTTTTGTTTAAGTTTGATTATTGATTTTTTTGATTACCTGACCGACTTTTAACTAAAGTTTTTAGATAACCGCAACTCGGGACCTCAAGATACAGGCCTCGCCTAGTTTGGGGACCGCCGCTCCTAAAAGCAATGTCCGCTAACAACACTAAGTTAAAACAAACAATTGTACCTAAGT